TAAACAGTATTTTTAGGTTTTCTTCCACCATGGTCCAACAACACTTGCCACTTCGGGAGCTTGCGCCACCTGGCCACACTGCAGTATATACAGAAATCAAATAGGATTTTTGCATTCGAATTGGAGTCCAACTGAATCGAACGGAAAAGCGCAGGGTAAACAAAAACAATGAAACTGGAGGAGCTGCTGACCAAGGGATCCTCCTCGCCGCCGGAGGACGACGACGAGGACGAGAAGGTGGAGCTGAAGCCGCAGAAGGCGAGCAGCGCCACCGCGGACGAGGGGGCGGAGAATGCGGAGGATGCGGCCGAGGATGCTGGCGAAAAGGAAGGCGCGGGTGGCAAAAAGAAGGGCACGCGCAAGAAACGCTCCCTCAACTGGGAGGAGGCCGAGCGGGGTCTGCTCCTCGAGGTCATCAAGTCCAAGGTGGCCTTCGTGGAGAACCGCAGTGTGGACGCCAAGAGCATAAAGGCTAAGCGTCTGGCATGGTCGCAGATCACCAAGCAGTAAGTTGCGCAATTGAGGGAGGAAGATGGAGCTCCTGTTCTAATGAAACCCCTCCCCCACCCCCAGGTTCAACGCCCTCAACTTCCGCCATCGCCTGCTGGAGCAGATTCAGGTGCAGTGGCGCAGCATGAAGAACTCCGCAAAGCGGGAGCACCAGCAGAAGCATCCGAAGACGGAAGCCCTCGAGGGCATGCGCATGATCGAGTTTCTGGAGGAGATGCAGAAGGACCCGGTCACCTCGCGCAGCCAGACGCGCAGCGCCAACATGAATGGCACCCTGAAGAAGGAGCTTCTCGACATCGACGAGGACGAGGACATGCCGCTGGCCGCTCTGCCCAATTCCACGAACGCCAGTGAGGATACGCTGCAGACCTCCACCATAGCCATTCCCTCGCCGCCGCCCTCCACCGCCGGCGGGGATGGAGACTCGCAGCAGGAAGGCACTCCCGCCCAGCCGCCAGCCCAACGACGCAAGCGGGCAAAGGCCAAGCAGTCGCCCTCGGGCGCCAAGACAGAAACCTCCGCCGAAACGGGGGAGGAGAACGAAAAGGGATCAGGTTCACCGCGGAAACGGCGTCAAAGGAATGTGAGTTGGAACACAAGTCCTTTTTTCGTACCAAAGTCCTTTATAACCAGATTATTAGTTAGTATATTCTTATTGAGTTTGCCACCATTGTATTTAGTCGTCCCACTTTGAAATCTTTAAAGTTAATGCTTTCCTAAACCCACAAAAACAGAAATACATCCTATTCAGCAATAGTATTCACAATAATAGTTCTCTAAACCTTACTAATAATTCTTCTTTCGCCAGCTCTCACAGGCACAGTCGCTTTTATCCGATGAGAACGAGGCCTCCAACAGCGTGGCTCCGATCAGCTCGCACCAACAATTCTCCCTGGGGGCCACACCAGTGGCGGACGCGAATAGCCAGCCACTGGAGCTCGTCGCCGCCTCCGAGATGGAACAGAAGTACAAGCAGGACCTGTTCCGGCTGCTGAAACAGGCCCGCCTGGCCGAAATCGACTACGCCCGACGGGAGCACGAGCAGAAGCTGCGCTTCGAGCAGATGGAGCAGGAGGTCAAGATGGCCTACTACCGGCAAGAGCAGGACCTCAAGCTGCGGCACATGCGCGAGGAACACGACATCCGGCTGCGGCAGCAGCGGAGGGAGCACGAGGCCCGTCTAGGGATCTACTCGCTGAAGGGATGTGGCCTAAACGGAAGCATACAGGAGCAGAGCTCGGCCAAGTGCAATGCCAAAACGGACTACAACAATGTCCACGAGGTTCCCGGGCCATCGACCAGTGCGGAGGGGGCGCTGGCGCTCAATGCCGCCTGCAATTAGGGGGCGTGGCCGTTGGCTCATATGCATATACAATACGAATTGCCAGCAATTAGCGTGTAAGGGCATTTAGAGGAAACATCAACAGTACTTTAAAATTTAGCTTGAAATACGTTTAGCGAAATGTAGGTCCGGTCCGATCCGGTCAGTTGGAAATCCGAATATCCGGATACGGATACGAATACTCATCGACACACTCAAGTTGCCACACGGACAAATGGACTGTTGTTTTTTGTGCATTTCGCACCAAACGAACTCACAGACATTGCATTTTTAAGAAATTAGTATTATATAATTGTATCGGTATCAGTTAAGAACAGAACTCCGGGCGAAGAGATCAATTCAAAACGCGGTTGTGTCGTCGAAAACAAACTCAAAAATACTCAAGCACAGACTTTGAATATGTTCCCCTTTTGCAGAACGCAATTTACTCATCAGTCAGTATTCTCTATGGCCACTGTATTATTTTTATATATTCACTTTTTTTTAGTTATAAGTTTTTTTTAAAGAACTACCATTTATACATAGGGGTGCAACCATGCCGTAAATGTAAATCCATGTATGTTTGTTCATACATAAACGAAAACTTTTATAATTCGTGTAATCATAAGTTACTGTACGTCGTGTTGTATAGCGCTGTAATATCCTGTCACTTGCTTCAGCTTAATAAATACCCTATATCGGGCGAGAGCGAGGTAAAATTAAACCATTAGATAATGAAATACAAATACATAGTGTGTAAACAGTTGGGACGTGCGTTTTAATGGTCTTAATAGATCCTGAAAAATTTATCAAAGTTAGCTATTCAAAATATTTCACTAATTCACAACTTTGTAATAGACATTTCTATACTCTTTTACGACAAAATTGTATTTAGAAAATCGTTATCAACCTTTGGAACCACAGAAATCTTTATAAGTAGCGCAGAATGAAGGACCTGGACGGCTCCCTGGATACCCTGGAAAATGCCCGCTTCAATTACGTCTATGCAAAGGCCATTGTTAAGTTGGGAAAGGATTCGATCTTCACACACAGCGAGCTGGTCAGCATAGTGATGCTCTACCATAAATTCGTCCTGGTGAATGGTCCAAGAGCTAAATACATGACCATCGCGCAACTCTCTATGATAATGGAGCTTTTGTTCGAGATTGAGGATCGCGAACTAAGTGCTACCATTGTGTATAGAATAGCCCATACCCCGGGATCCAGGTCTTCGGATTTCTTTCCTGACAGACATGTCCATTTGGATTCCTTTGTCAGGCTATTTACCATCTACTTTACCAGGGATCTGCAAGTGAAGATGGAGTTTGCCTTTTCGGTGAGGAATTTATAGTGTAATTTTGATATCAACGTGAATACGAGAGACCTTTATTGTAGATCTACGATAAGTCGGATTCCGGGCAGTTGAATGGCGAGGAAGTGGGGTTCTTCGTTAAAAAGTTTTTTGACTGCGAGGACGAAGACGAGGCCGCTGAACTGCGAATGGTAAGACGAATCTCCCTTACATGTATTTGAGTGGTTTATAATTTCCCATTCCTATACAGGACATGAAGGAAATGCTCTTCCTTAAATTCGACCTAGACAAGGACACCAATATTGCGATGGAGGAGTATTACGAGGTGGTTCGTCAGCAGCCGGAGTTGCTGGAGTGTTTTGGCCGCGTCTTTCCCCCGAATCCTCAAATGGAAGTCCTTGCGCTGTGCGCCAACGTAATGTCCTGGTTCGATGATTCACCCAATCCTAGGCTTATGACTAGTCCTGAAACTGGAAAAGCCGTTAGTTAATAGGGAGCTCATAAACGGATTTTAAGTCATATCCGATAATAAAATTGTGAAACGTGTTGATATAGATTATTAGAAACCAATAAAATGTACAAAAAAATATTACAAAAAAGTTACTGATAGGCTTTCAATATTTGTCTGTTACTCCAGCAAAGCGTACGAGGACACGGAAACTAACTAAGTTACAGCTTTATTCATTTTTGGTCTTCGAATTTATAAACTTTGGGCATTTTATTTCTCTTGTTTTAAGAGTTTGTCAACATATTTTGAATATTATGACCGTTATTTGTATCGATACTTGATTATTACTGAAATCACTGATGATTTTGGCATCGTTAATCGATGAAATGATCGACTAGTCGATTGGAGTTGGAAGGGAATTGTTTACAACTTGTAAGCATTCCAAAACATTTGATTCAAACGCCAGCAGAATGGCCACGGAGGAGCACCAACGTCTGGCCAGCATAGTGAAGAGCTGTCACGAGAGCTTGCGCCAACTGACGAAAGAGCATGGCGCCAAGGCGGCCTGGCAGGAGCACACGAGCCCGAGGAATGCCAAGCGGCTGGCAGAATACGCCAAGGCCATGAGACAACTGGCGGCCATATGGGAGACCAACGAGGGGAATGTGGAGCTCCAGGCACGGAGCCGCATCAAGTGGGCCATCGACTACATCACCAAGTACTTCTTCACCGAGGGAATCTACCTGCAGAAGCGGCAGCGGGAGCAGCGTCTCCTGGAATCCTACAGAGACGAGGGCCAACTGGGCGAGGTGGAGTGCCGGCTGATGGAAGAGCCACCGGACAGGCTGCATGTCCTGGATGTGGGCAGCTGCTTTAACCCCTTTTCCAGGGTTCCGCACCTGGAGGTTACTGCTCTGGATCTTTGCCCCGCCACCGAAGATGTGCTGCAGGCGGATTTCCTCAAGGTGGAGGTGGTGCCCGGCATAGAAGAACCTGCTCTGGAGGCGGGCAGCGTGAAAAGGCTCCCAGCGAACCACTATGAGTGCGTCATCTTCAGCTTGCTACTGGAATACATGCCCAGCGCGGAGCAAAGGCTGCAGTGCTGCCTCAAGGCCTACGATCTGCTCCTGCCCGAGGGCATCCTGGTGCTCATCACCCCAGACTCCCAGCATGTGGGCAAGAACGCCCACCTCATGAAGAACTGGCGCTACTCCCTGGCAAGGATCGGCCTGCTGCGGGTGCGCTTCGAGAAGCTGCCTCACATATCGTGCATGGTTTTCCGCAAGGCCATCAGCCGGGAGCTCTCCCAGCATTGGGCGAGCATTCACAGGGAGGAGGGCATGTGCGAGGAAATCCGAATACCGCAGGACGATAGCTAGATAAGATACAAGCCTCATAAATCGATGTAAATATGTCCATGTCTACTTGTTTATGGCTTAACTTATCTGTGTTAAGTGCGAGTTAATAATAATGGTTGACGATTTATCTACTATCTATAGATGTCGTAAATGGACAAATGCTATTGCTTCTGTTCCGACTGTGGGAACAGGGCGCCGACTCCCTGCCGCTTCTTCATGGCCGAGGTCGCGCCCTGCGATATCTTCATGATGTTCGGTGGCAGCGGCTTCTTCCGATCCGCCTCCCATTCGGCTCGGTGGAGTCGCTGGCGGTGCTTGTACATGTTGGCGTTAGAGAAGAACGTCATGGGGCAATTGGGGCAAGTGTATAGAACTTCGCCGGTATGAGTGGAAGTGTGTTCCTGCAAATAAGGTTCATGAAAATCAGAGTCCCCATTCTCATTGGCTTTAAACTCACCCTAAGATCTTGTGGTCGCTTAAAGGCCTTCTCGCACATCCCGCACTTGAACTTGCGCTCGCAGAGATGGTTGTGGTAGATGTGGCGCTTAAGGGCCCTGGAGTTAGTGGATGTCTTGTTGCAGATGTGGCAGCGGTGCTCGTCGCCCGGGGGCTCGTGCACCGTGTTCATGTGCTGCTTCAGTCCGGAGAGATGGCGCAGCCAGGTGCCACATATCTCGCACTGCACGGGATCGGGCTTGGGACGCGGCTGCTCGGAATGTTCCAGCTCGTGGTGCTTTTTGAGATTCGTTTGCGAGCGAACGGTCTTGCCGCACTTATCGCAGATGATGGCTGATTCCGGGTCGTGCATGTAGCGCAAGTGTTCCTTCAATTTGCGCTCCGTGGGGATCCTGAAAGCATTAAGAAATCAGTTGGGAGATCGGTTGCATGGGCCACCTACTTCTTGTTGCACTCTGGACAGGAGAATTTGAACTCGGACTTGGGCACGTGCTTGGACACGTAGTGGTAGTCTATGGCCGACTTGGTGATGAAGCTCTTGGGGCATTTCTCGCATTGGTAGACCGGCTTTTCCTTTGGTTCTCCCTTGACGTCCGGGTTCGTGTGCGTCTGCTCGTGGACATCCAGGGCGCGCGAGTCCTGGAACACCCGTCCGCACTGAGAGCACATAAAGTGCTCCGGGTTCTTGTGGACCAGCACATGCTCCGCCAAGGCCTTGCGAATGTGGAACTTTTTCCCACAACACTCCATGTAGCCAGCTTCGATGTTGTGGGAAAGGCGCTGATGGCGTCGCATGTCCGCAAAGTTCTGCACCAGCAGATTGCAGATGGTGCAGGGAAACTTCTTGAAAAACTGCAGGATAATCTCATCGTACTCGTTCTGCTGGAGCTTTCGACGCTCGATCTCCTCGCGACTTAGGCGAACGGGTGGCACCAGCGGCTTCTCCCGCTTTCGGTACTTCTTGGGCTTCACCACCACCCGCTTGGGGATCTCGGCGTACCGCTCCTCGGGCTCAATGTCGGGCAGGCTCTGGTCGGAATCCTCGGCACTGCTGTCGCTAGAGGAGCTGCCGCTGTCGTCCGTGCCCAGGACAGCCTCGGCAGCCACAAACTCCATGTCATTGTTGTCTCTAGCATTGTCATCTTCATCATCGGAGTCCAGTTCCTCCTTCTTTGGCGAAGCAGGGGGCTCTGGCTTGGCCTTGGGCGGACGACCACGTCTCGTGCTTCTTCGCAGCGGGCGGCCCTTGGTCGGTTGGCTGTTCCTCGCTGGTTTACTTGAGCTACTCTTGCTGTCTGAGCCCAGAAAATCTGCTAGAGGTACATCCGAATCACTGTCCAGTGGCTGTTCGTTCTTAATGCGCCGTTTTGGGTGCGGTGATCCGTCGTTTTGGCCACCCTGCCGCTTGGAAGCAGTTCTGGTTTCCGTGTTGACCGGGTCCTCCAGAAGCTCCACCTTGGGCAGCGGCTCCAGCTCGTTCACCTCCACCTTGACCTCGCTGGGCGCAAAGAAACCCTCGGCCAGGGCGTCCAGCTCCACAGAGTACAGCGGATTGATGACTTCCTCCGTTTGGCCAAAGAATTCGATGGGCACGCTCTTGGAGTCGCTGCTTCGCTGCTGGTGCAGGCCGAAGACCCGCTGGTGGAACTCCTCGAAGCTGCTGATGCAATCCCAGCACTCACGGCAGACCGCCGCATCACTGCCCGCCGTAAGGACCTAAGGGATGGGAAGATCTTGATGCTGAAGCACCCGAACTTGCAATTATGGCGCACAGCTTACCTCGGGGAACGAAAAGTGCTTGTTGATGGTCGCCCTAATGCCCAGACGCACGCCCTCCGCGGACTGCAGGCCGATGCCGGCATCGGAGGAGACCAGGCATAGGACGCAGGCAGTCATGATGTAACCGGATCCACTTGCAAACCCCTAATCCCGCTCCATTACCACTCACAGTTTTTGTTTACGAATTTGCAAAAATTGTTTTCCAAAGCTAAGCAGGGTTGTCAGGTCTGCGCAATTATGGAAGGCCCAGAAACCAACCGATAGGTGTGTGTACAGGCTATATTGCAAACGGTCTCTTTAAAATATGCGGTTTGTGACATTGATAACTTATAGAAGTCACACCCGGTTTGAAATATTATTTTGGTATATACTAACAACATTTCACATAGGGTCTTTCTAAGGGGTGAGGAGGGTGTGGTCGCTAAGCTAGCGGTGACCCCAACCACACGTTTTGGAAAGACCGTACTTTTTGGTATATTTAATGATAAAAATGTTGTGTTTTGGGAAAAAATACCAAAACACGCACATTGTGAGACAGCTGTTGCGTTGCGTCTTTCAGAATTCACAAGATTGACAGTTTTAACCATTTTAAAAAGGCATAATAACGCTTTTGACCCCAAAATGGTCAAGCCAAGGAGCAAGGAGGATCGACAGAAGGCTAGGAGCAGTGCCAAGGCAAAACAACACTGGCACAAGCGGGGATTGGCCTCCAAAAAGGCCTCAAAGATCCTGCTACAGCTGGCGGCCGAGGATCCCGAAAGAGACGCCGATCCTGGCCCATCAGCCACGGTAAGTTCGGTGCATTATATAGAGATATATTCATTTTGGCGACATTTCGAGTTCGCGTCGGTGGTACGCGCAGATTCTGTTTTCCCGCGAGTGGTGACCAGGTGGTGGTGGGTGCTCCTTCGGGCAGTGCGCAATCGCCGGCCCCCAATACCCCACATTCCCAGTGAATAGTGAAAAGTTCCAGAAAACCAGCTCCAGCCAACTGAATCATTGCTGTCTAGACGGAATAGCCAGAAAACCACGAAATCCCCATCCAAGAGGCCAAAGTATTTCATTAATAACCCACCAAGCATGGAGAAAATCTGGAAGAAAGTGTGCGAGCACCACGACGTCCCGGAGCAGGTGGCCAACGAGTGGTTCGCCCGCATCCAGCAGCACTTGAGCTCTGAGGATCCGTCTCGCGCCTACCACAACTGGCAGGAGATGATGCAGCGCAAGATGCCACATCTGGCGGGCGTGGCCAATCCCAATATCGTGCTGGCCGCCTTCTTCCAGTACTACCACTTCGATGGCAACCGCAGCTGTGCCGAGCAGAACTGCGAGGTCTTCGAGGAGTTTTGCCAAGATGCCGTCATCGAGGATGTGAGTAAGAGTGCGCCATGAATGAACCTCTCTATCCGGCGTGTTTTACCTTGAACAGGATCACGCCAAGAGCCTGGTGTGCAATTTGCTGGGACGCAAGACTCCGGAGAACCAGTTGACATGGTGCCATGACGACGAGGCCAACTTGCTTCAAGATGTGGACCTCGTGGTGCTTGCGTAAGTATCTGTACAGCCATCTTCCGCTTATTTCACTTTTATTTTGTCCCACTCAAGTGCCTCGCCTGAGGAATACAAGCACTATACGACTCTACTCCGCTCGGAGTACGCCAATCTGGATGATGCCACCTACAAGGCCATGCGCATCAAGGTGCTGGAGACCCTATTGATGATACCCTCCATCTATGCCACCGGGGACTACCATGACAAGTACGAGGAGCTGGCCCGCGCCAACATACGCAGCGAGATCAACGAGCTTAAGAAGCAGTAGACCAGAGTCGGGAGTCGGAAGGATCGGGATGCGTAGGGGCTGCTTTGTTTACTGCTATTGAGTTATGTACTTACCGGCCGTTTTACCTCGTTTGACTGCAAGGCACTCGTGTATTGAAGAGCTAACTTCTCTGCCGAGCATCTACTTAATTTTACTCCTAAGTCAAGTGTAATCAAAATCATTTTCCTAGTTAGTGTGTACGCCTAGATATATATGTACGTAAGCCCTGTAGACTCCAGCTCATAATAAACTTGATGTAAATGATGTACCAAACATGTAGTTTTACTCAAAGCCTTTAAAGAACCAAAGAAATCCGATAACGCAGTAAGTAGGAGAAGTAACTCTAAAATTGCTTTTCTACAAATATGATCAAGTTCCATGCGGATAACGCTAAACAGATTATTTCCCCCAAACAGGTTGTAACACTAGAAACAGCGGTCTCCAGTACAAGTTCCGAAATGCCGAGAACAGTGGGGCAGAATGGCTTCAGGAAGATAAAAGACTCCAAACCCAAGGTAACTCATCGAAATGTACAGATAATCCAATTATGGCGTGCGATTTTCTACAGATCTCGGCCAAAAAACTAAAACGTAAGGCAATGCAAAAGAAGAAATTTGATCGCGAAATGCTATCAAAGATACTGGGCTCAATAAAAAAGAAGTACAATGTCCAGAAAAATCCTCAGATTAGACGCAGGTTGGACTTCCGCAGTAAAGAATCTCCCAAAAAAAACCTTGTCCTACCCAAACCAAAATTCTACAGACCGCAGAAGGTAAAGCTTGTACGATATTTAAGATATTTAATTAATGTGAAATTTAGGCGACTGCAATTTCTACCGAAAATTCGAATGACACCATTGAGGACGGGGAAGTCGTAGAAGATTTGGTGAGCAGCGACGACGATGACTGCGTGTTGCTGGAGACCCCGAACGTCTCCATAAACATAGAAGATGATGATGAGCCCTGCACAAGTGATAAGCTCTTAACGGATGTAGTTAAGGATTGCAAAGGCGAGGCGGCTTTGCGAATAAAACCAAAGACGGAAAATCCAGTGTTGTACTCCACAGTCTTGAAGACGGATTTATCTGAGTCCATCATTAACTTGGATGAAATCTCCGAAGAAGTGGCAAGCGCAGTTGTGGACAACAACGATTCAGTAATATTTATTGAGGACACTATTGGCACAGAAGACTTCATCCCAATCCCATCATATTCGCCGCCCCTGCGGAATGGTAAAAAGAAAAGGAGGAGTGTCAGACTGGCGGAAACACCCAAAAGGAAGACGGCACGGATGAGTGACAGTCTTTTCACCACTGCCGAAAAGAAGAAGCTTGGAGACTATAATAGGAACACATTTAATCCCTCGGAGGAGGCAGGAGAGACTTCTGATAAGCCAAAAACGAATAAGAGGTCTATTATCATCGATGGCAGCAATGTGGCCTTTGCGTGAGTTTCCCAAAGGTATATTCTAGTGAGATTGTACTAGTTTTCTTGTATTTTGAACAGCCATGGACACTCGAACGTCTTCTCATCTGAGGGAATAAAGTATTGCTTGCAGTACTTTGAAAAAATAGGGCACGACGTCAAGGCTGTGATTCCAATGTTCAGGAGAAACATCTACAAGTCCTCGAACCCCGAGCTTCTCGATAAGCTTCACAAGGAGGGCAAGATAGTGTTTACGCCGTGCAAAAACCTTCACGGCCAAATGTCGTCCTCCTACGATGATCGGTTGGCTCTCTTACAAATCCCATGTTTCGCCTTAAAATATCCTTACTTCTCTTTTCAGCTTCATTTTGCAGTTGGCATACGAAAAGAATGCTGCCGTCGTTTCCAACGACAACTACAGAGACCTCATTGACGAAAATCCTGCCTTCAAAAAGATCGTGGAGAATCGCGTCCTTGGCTATTCGTGGTGCGACGATATATTCATTCTACCCAAAGATCCTTACGGCCGCTGGGGACCCACACTCGATGAAATTTTAAGATGCTAGTGCATTTAGTTACTTCGTTAGAAATCCTTTTCTTATTTGTGTTTAAATTAGTTTAGTTGTGTGCTCAGTTACTAGCCATAGTTGCGGTTAATTTAACTTTCTCTTTCTGATATTATCTTAAAACTAGAGTTTAGTTTTTGAAAACTCATAAATTATTAAGAGTCATTGAGTCGTTCTCATAAACGCCTTTTTGCGGTCCGTCCAACTCTTTTTGCCTGACATTACTTTTCAAGTAGTTTTTAGTTGGTCGGAACTCAAAAATTATTATGCGGCGTTTACTCAGTTTGCATTAAATAGTTTTCAATTGTAAAACTTAATTTTTTATGCCTAACTGTGTAAATATATGGCGAATTATTTTCAAAAAATGTTATTGTAAAATCCCGCACTAAATTAAGCAATTCTCGGGGAGCAGTTTATTTACATAAGCAAACTGTACAAGTGTTTCGTATGGTGTATAGATAAGAATAAATGTAAGATTCCTCCGAATCGCAGTGCTGAGTTACACCACCGGCGGCTGGCCGTTGACCAAGAACACTGTAGTGGTGGTGGACGTGGTGGTGGTGGCCACGTTCGCCTCGTAGACCGGCGGTGGTTCGTTGATTCCAGTCGCCAGGTTGGGGTTGCTCGCCTCCAAGCTGGTGGCTATGGTCAGGGTGCTGTCCTGCTTTCGCTCGCTGAAAGCGGCCTCGTCGTAGCTGGGCGGCAGGTCCAAGGTCTTGGGCAGCACACTGATCTCGTCCTGGGTATTTAGGCAAACGTTGCTGACTCCGCCGGAGCCGCCGTTGCAGTTGTTCGTCACATTAATCTCCATTTGGCGACGGGCTGCGGGAAAAGAAAGATCGGAATAGGTTTTAAGTATAGCTTTGCGACATTTTCCCTTCATAATGCTTTATATATTAGCTGTAGCCTTAAAAGTATCATTGGAACTTTCCAACAACACTTAAATAACTCTAAGCCAAACTGAGCAGTACCTTAAGTATAATAAGTAGTAAGTAGACAATAATTATAATAAAATATAAGGCCATAAAAAGAGGAGTTTTCATTTAAAGTTCGAATGAGCCAATACAATTTTCATTTACTTGTTGCTCAAGCAAAAAGAAGCCGTTTGGTTATTTTAACCGACGGCTGATAAAAATAGTAACATATCTTAGCTCAACTTATTAGTTGAAAGAATAAATATATAATAATATTAAATCTATGGTCTACTTCCTGTTAATTTTTTTAATTTCAAAAATCAAATGACCGTTGGACGTAGGCTAACAGTAACCGTTTTGGCTGTGCTCTGTTAACCGCTAACTGTTAACCGCTGACTGCCAGGGGCGTGACCAGCTAACCGCAAAGGGGTACTCATTACAAATACCACTGTTGGGCCTTCTTATGTATTTAATTTACTCCCAGTCCCAAGAGTTGTACCCCGTATTTATTAAGTAGTTAAAAATATTTCTTTTAAGATAGTAAGCCCCCTTAATAAGACGTAGGCTACGCCCTTAAACCCGCTGTTGGGTCAGCTGCTCTGACGTCAGTCGATCAGCTGTTGCCGCCAACGGAGGCCCACAAAACTTGAAGCGCTGCGATTTAATCACAGACTTTGGTATTTCAACACCTACGCGCCGTCGAAGAAGCGGCGCCACCTGAAGCGCACAGAATCGAGTAAGTGAAACCATGCTTAGGCATTCCGACTGCCCAGTGGCTCACCTTCAGCCAGTTGTGTTTACATAATGACGCTGGCCAAATTTCCGAGGTGAAAGTTTAGCTGCATGTGAGCACGGGGAAATGTATGTAAAGGGAAACATTTAAATGAAAATGTTGGCGGAGGTGCAACAGGTTTCGAGGTCTTGAATTGGCCAAAATCACTGGGCGAAGGGCAGAGTTCAAAGTGCACTCGGTGACTCAGCGACTCAGTTAATCGCAGGTGAAAGCCCGGAGGTCAAGTGCCATTAAGACACCTGTTGATTTCGCACACTTAACCGAGCAAACTCTATTTTTCAGCTGGAGGAGATGCTGCTGCGACGCATCCTGGGCTACGGCGTCGTGGGCGCCGGACTGGCCTCAACCGGCTGGAGCCTGCACACCAACGACTACGATCCCAACTCGCTGGGCATCGTCCGGCTGTCCCGATCCGCCGCCGCCGTCGTGGACGTGGCACTCACCTACAAGCGGGAGCTCTACTACAGGGAATGGGACAAGGAGACGCCCGAGTACAAGGCGGAGAAGAGCCGCGTCCACAAGATTGCCGCCGAGAAGCTGCTTCAGCTGATCTGCACCAACAGGGGTGTCTACATCAAAGTAGGCCAGCACATTGGGGCTCTGGAGTACCTGCTGCCCAAGGAGTTCGTGCAGACCATGAAGGTCCTCCACTCCGATGCGCCGCAGAACCCCATCGAGGACCTGTACAAGGTGATCAGACAGGATCTGCGCTGCAATCCGGAGGACATCTTCGACAGTTTCGAGCGTGAGCCCCTGGGAACCGCCTCGCTCGCCCAGGTGCACAAGGCGCGCCTCAAAAGCGGCGAGGTGGTGGCCGTCAAAGTGCAACATCCCTACGTCAAGGGCAACTCCCGCGTGGACATGAAGACCATGGAACTGGCGGTCAGTGTGCTGGCCCGGATATTCCCTGACTTCAAGATCCACTGGCTGGTGGAGGAGTCCAAGAAGAACCTGCCCATCGAACTGGACTTCCTCAACGAGGGCCGCAACGCCGAGAAGGTGGCCAAGCAGTTCGAGAAGTACACCTGGCTGCGGGTGCCCAAGATCTACTGGGAGTTAAGCACCTCTCGCGTCCTAGTTATGGAGTATCTGGAGGGTGGTCATGTCACGGACCTGGACTACATCCGGCGGAACAAAATCGACACCTTTGCGGTGGCCAACCGCATTGGCCAGCTGTACTCCGAGATGATCTTCCGCACTGGCTTTGTTCACAGTGATCCGCATCCGGGAAACATCCTGGTAAGACGCACGCCGAAAGACAGCCTGGAAATCGTTCTGCTGGACCACGGGCTGTACGCCAATCTGACGGACAAGTTCCGGTATGATTACTCCAATCTGTGGCTCAGCATCCTCAACGTGGACCGCAAGGGGATGAGACAGCACAGCGAGCAGCTGGGCATCAAGGTATATATGAGAGATAGGATCTCCTATCGGATCGTTCTAACTTATCTACCGTTCCCTTGATCCAGGGTGATCTTTACGGGCTGTTCGCCTGCATGGTGACGGGACGACCTTGGGAAACGGTGATGCAGGGCCTCACCAAAGTCAAATATTCCAAAGAAGAGGTAGGTTCGTACAAGCCCAAGACCTCTCCAGTTACTCATGGTACACTCATTTCGATTCTGCAGAAGAACACGCTTCAGAACAACACGTCGCTGGTGCTGCCGCACATTTCCGACGTGCTGGAGCAGGTGGACCGCCAGATGCTGCTCATCATGAAGACCAACGACCTGATTCGCGGCATTGAGGCCACGCTGCGCACGCAGAACCGGATGACTGCCTTCTGGGTCATGTCCAAGTGCTGTGTGCAGAGCTCCTATGCCGAGCAGCGGACCCAACAGGCCGCCTCCGGCTCCTCGCGGATCCTCTGGCTGCGGGTGCGCGAACGATGGGAGCTGTTCAAGCTCAACTGCTACTACCTCTACCTGGGACTGATCAATTTCGGTTTCCTCGAAGCACTCAAGCAGGTTATTTAGGCTAAGCAATGTGGTGCCCCCATTAAAAGTACAAAACCCATGACGAGCCTGGAAAAGGGAAGTTACCTCGTTGTCTCTGCTGGACGAGATTCCGGGCATTGAGCTCCCGCTTGCGTTTGGCGCTCTTTGGAAGAGAGAGTGGAGCATTAGCATAAGAATTTGAATGCTTTCCATTTCGAATGGGCTTACCATGATCATGGCCAGCGGAAAGGCGATTACAAAAAGGAAGACCAGCACAATGTAAACCACGTAGCTGGGATAGAAGAACATGTACGGACCACCGTAGCCGCCATCGGTGATCCAAATGGTAACGGGCGTGGTGTAATTGTAATCCCCAAACGAATCCGTACTCTCAGTGGTTATAGCAGTAGCGTTTAGCGATAAAGTGTTATTACTCAGAAAAGGGATGACTGTTGTATTTATGGCAGGAGCCATGTTTAAATTGGGTATTAATTCCGCGCTGATTAAGGCGATTTTTGATAACTAACGAATTTTAGAAACTCTTTCGAAGACAGCCGTTCTTTGACGAACCGACGAACCCGACTGAACCACTAGCCACCGAATTGATAGGACATCCGGACATGGGTCAGGCCAAAAACCAAACCCCAAGAACACACATATTTGCTTTGTAATCATTAGCTGATAAGGTGACAAAACCAGTGTCGAGCCAGGGCTTTGTTTTTTGTTCGTCGTCGCAATTTATCTAATGAGGCGATATGATAAATGTGCGCAAATAGATATATGTCTGAGCGCAGGCATAAATATATATTAATGTCGTTCATGATTTATGGCGGCCGTTCTCTCTCATCTCAAGAACAAGTTCAGTGGCCCATCTGGGGCAAATATTTATGTTTGCCCACCACGACTGCCCCACTAACCACCATCGCCAGCTACTCACCTGGTTCCTCCTTCAGGGGCTGCGACATCGAGGAGTACGAGCGGGAGGCAATCAGCAGCACCTGGAAGACGACACTTGGTTGGGATAGTACGCGGCGAACTTGGTCGATGGTAGAGCCAAACTCACTCGCAGGAGGAAGAGCAGGAAGCTGAGGACGCACAGAACCAGGAGGACGATACCCAGATTATCCATTTCGGTGAAATGACCCACAAGTTGACCCAACGAATGAGTTGTTTTGGCCGAAAACGTAAACCGTGATTCACCCTAAAGCCTTCGGCACATGTCAAAGCGATAAGATATACGATATGACCGAGCTCTGATTACATTTTAAGCAGTTGATGGACTTTTTAGCACCTTGGCCTCCGGCCGCAGGGGATCCCTTCCAGACTAATGAGCAGCCGCTTGCCAAATGGCCAACTCTCGGATTGTGCAGGCCCAGTTATCTCGGCCGGATTGCAATTTATGTTTGTGCCGGCTGTTATCTCCTCCGGATTCTGTCCGTCAGTCAGTTGTTAACGCTTAATTGAAGCTAATCTAATGGCCCGTTGGTTTTGTGTACCCTCACATTCCGGCCAAAGAACGACCCTTGACCCCAGAAAAACTCGCACACACTTCTTTTCCAACACAAATATATGTATTTCCAATGTTTCCCTTTGATTTGAAATCAATTGAACGAATGAAAAGCATCACACGAAAATTCTTAAATACTTAAGCACTACCAACATCGATTTCGAGATAAATATTTCATTGAATTTTCAAATAGTTTTGTTGCTGATGTCAGATTATGGTCTAAATAAACCCATTGTATTTCGTTTTGGTTTGCAATGCATATGGATTGCAGCTCGAATAATATTCATATATGAATATGAAATTGGCACACTTTGTTTTTCATTGTTTTTGCATATGTGGTTTATATTTACTGATAATCGTTTCTGAATTTCGCTAGTGTTCGCAATTGAATTTCCGCTGCCTCGATTGAAATTGCATTTCGCAATTCCCAATTAATTTATTTGCGATTTGTTTTGTTTACCATATCTCGTCACGCTCGCCACGCTAACGATTTAAGGTTGTCCATAATAATGTCCACTATATACACGGGTATATATTGCGTATTTGTGTAGGATATATCGTATATATATGGCAGCGAGAGCTTCCTGTTAACCAGTAAAACATTTTCATCATGCCTCTCGTGTTCTATTTGCCTCCGAGCTTAATTGAAATCAAAATAAGAAAACAAATGAAACGCAAACACCCGGGGCGGGTGTGTGTCCGCATACAATTGGCAGCCACTGTAGAAGGTGTCGGTTGCAATTAATGGGCTCCGACCATTGTTAAACATTAAACTTTAATTAGCTGCAGTGTCCGATTCGGCATTCCTGATTGGGGGACTCCCCTGCCATCCACCTGTGTAAATAGAAATGCGAAATGGTAAATAAAGGACTGGTTTGCTCAATGGCTAAGTGGAAATATGAATATGCATGCTCATTCTCGCATAAAAATCACACAGAAAATGTATTTTAATTTTTATGCACGGTCTGTGCTCATAAAAAATTCATGTATCTCCACTCTTTGGCTTTTTGTGGCTTTTTTGCCTACATAATTCCTTAAAGGTATCCTTTTTCATCCTCAAGAAGCTACAGTTTCGTACACAACGAAATTGGTTTCAAAAGATAAATTCACGTTGACATTTTAATTAATTTATCCCCCCACTATGCCTTGTTAATAGTTTTGTTTTGCCTACGAGTTTACAATGTTTACTCAAAATGCCAGCCATTCAAGACCTTAATCAAATAAATACGTATGAATACGAGGCCCACGCACAAGGTAAAACTGGGTGGAAATTGTTGCAGGAACACACGACACAAATCAATTTGCATAAGGATAGAACTTTCCAACTTTTAGTATCGAGAGAAAACTTTGCTTTGTGGCAGGCGCCATAATCAAAAAGGACTATGGGTATGCACGTATTTTGTATGGGTGGTTTGTATATCAGTAACAATTAAAAATATAAAGTTTTAACAAAAATAAAAAACAAATACTGTAAAATGTATTAGGTCATGTGCTTCGTCTCATGAATGTTATATGATACGATATAAGAAAACGTACTAATTTTAATGAGTAGTCATTTTGAATGTTTATAAATAAATATTAAACTAACCTTTAATACTAAAAACTAAATGAGATCTTGTCTTTCAATGTGTTTACTCTTTTAATCATTAAGAGCTTACTAGAAATAACTACACAAATTATTAGAAAAGTATTTAAATACACAATTCCTTGCTTTGCTGAATTAAAGAATTTAATCTCTTAAGAGAAAGTCCCATAAGGTATTACAAAATAAATATTTTTTTAACTTTAAACAACTATATGTATTGAATAGACATACATATTTTTGTATCTAACTATAAAGGACTTACAAAAGACCTATGGCTGACATATAAATAAATATAAAAGTATTATTTATAAATAACCAATAACCAACAGTGAGATCCTTTGCTCTACAGCACTATACTACACAATACGATGCACACCTTTAAATCTTAATTAGATCTTTTACCTTTTCAGCATAGCAGAATAATAATCTACATAAGTCGAATCCAAATATCTTGGTTGTATAATTAAGGTCGGTAATCTCTACATCACTATTTTTCTGTTTAGCTGAATGTCAGCAACAGGCTGAAGATTCTCGTATCAGTCCACCTGTCAGGTTGTCAGCACGTATATCATGATTTGTGGATCCCGGGGACTTAAACGTACCCCCCCCCCAAGACTTTAGGCTCTGTTTGAAATTAAATTTAAGGTATCTGAGAGTCGAATCTGTGGCATTTCGGCCTCCTCTGCCTTTTCCCCCTCCCCCTGCAAGTGTGTATTAAATTTGAAATTCAAATTTATGAAACTGCAGTAGAGAAACCTTCATGTCTGATTTTCATCTCAGCAGAGCAATTCATTCAGAACTCAAATCTGAGGCATTTGCTCGATGCTTTAACAATTAGATAGCATACTTTTTGGGGCAGAACCAACTACCAAAAAAAAGGGGGAAACTTTCGTCCTGATCCTGAACACTTTTATGTGGTGTAGGCCATTTTCGAGTGTGGAAAGTTGCTCAGCTGGAATCAAGTTGTTAGCACAATTAGTAGGGGGCGTGATGTGATGTGATGGGATGTTGTGGGCGTGGCCGTTGGCGGCTTTCATTATCGAAACGTGCTTTCACTTTGTCCATGAATGTTGAGCAAAATTAATTGCCGGCGGGCGGTTGAATGCCGCCCCAGCGATTGCACAAAACTTTTGTTTGAATAATTTCATTAAGATTAATTTTCGGCAACAAAGGATCTGGAAAATTATAATTTATAATTAGCAGCCAGCGCAAGCGGTTCTGTTTGTTTTTCGCCCAGCCAAGGGAGATTTTATTGAAAATTGTAATTATGATTTTGTGTGCGTTTCGTTTTTGGGATTTCGTTCTTTTTTTTATGTTTTTAAATTTGTGCAAAAAGTTTTGTGTACATGGGCCATAAATGAGGTTTTCCTGCCGCAAAAACAAATTAAACTGGAGTCGAACTCCGATGGGAAGGCGAGGTCAGTGGAAAAGGAAGGCGCTGGACAATAAAGTTTAATGAATTACATTTTACGCGAGGCAAGGACGAGCGGAAGGACATCGAAGCCAGCTGCTGGTAATCCTTGGACAAACAGCCAGCGAATCGAAAGCGGGGCAAAAAGTCGAGAGGAAATGAAAATATGTCGACGGAAATGAGCATTGACGCCGTCGTGACCCAGACATCCCGACATCGAGTTTCGGGTTCCCGGATCCATCGTCCTTCGTCCTTCGTCCTTCCTTTCCTTTGGTCAAGTCACATGCGCTGATTTCCCGACTGGGCGGCAGCGGATCCTTTGGCCCAAGTTGCCATTTCATCATTGTCAACGGCCGCAGAACATCGAACAAACAATAAATATTGTAAACAATTTGTTTGGCCTGGCTGGGGAAATAGAAAGCCATGGCAAATATTTGCCCACGCCCGAGGCAGGCCGAAGCGGAAATCGTTTCCTCCAAGGATCCAGAGCCTGGGAACCGAGCAGGAGTCGTTGGCAGGGGTGGCTCCGTAAGCCCTTCGGGGCCATAAATTATCATCATCAGCAAATGGCAATGTGGTTCATCCTGTCGCCGCTTGCCTCGCTCACAATTTCCAATTGCCATCCGGCCGCTGCGATTCCCAGTCCCCCAATCCTCCATTTCTCCAGTTCCCATCCCAATCCCAATCGTAGACCCCCTGAGTTCCCTGGAAAACCCAGCCACGTAGGTAATGCGGCATTAATTAAATCAAGCATCATTAAGCGGGGTCGTGGCCTGTGGGCGTGCTGCGGTTGAGTTCTAATGGCAATTGCATTCGGTTTTGGATTCGGATTTGCAGTGCACCGTGGTTGGGAGCACTTTAGCCCGGCTAAACTGTCAATGGCAGACCGCAGGGAACTCGAAAGTTTGATTTGGCGAGCTCATTAATTTCGGGAACTTCTTGGGGGAGACCACAGAAATAGGAAAGTTTCTCTTTTTTGAGATTTAATGTGGAACGGCGAAACATTTCTTTAGAAACAATTTATACACTTAAAAAAAACCAAATTAAGCACTTTCAACTTTTTACAAAAACTATGGATAATAAATGTGTAGACTTTATTGATAATGTAAACTCTAAGCTAACGAAGTTATCGAATTTTTAAAGTTACATTTAATGAAAAGATGGCTGTTTTTGTTTAATATGAACACTATCTTTTTACCAATATATTTTAGATAAGTTTTATGAAGAATTTTTCTACAGATCAAGCTGATACTCAAAGTAAAGTTTGAGAAAAAAAGTGTTTATTATAATATTATTAGTTCTTTAATATAAACTGTAACTGTAAAAAAATACACTAACATTTTTTAAAAATAAATTTTTAACAGATCAAGATAATTTCCAAAGCTAAGTTTACAGAAAACATTGTCTATATTAAGGGTATCATATCTTGTATTAGTACCATCCTTTCAATGTCTACTTTGAGCTTTTCCTGTGCAATCTTTGGGCAAAGTGTAGGTTTCTTTTTATTTTATCTTATATTGGACTGGCCATGAAATTGCGCCCACTGTCCAAATGGTAAATTGAAAATAAAAGCTAGCACACAAAATGTTTTAGCTTCTGTGGGCATTGCGTAAAATTTCATTTGCTGAGCACGGTTTTATGGCTGGCGCTTCTGTCTAACTGCCTTTCCCTGTGTGAGGAGTGGATTGGAGTGGAGTTGAGTGGAGGGTGCCCAATTGGCCATGTCGGAGAATCTAAGGTAAAATGATTTTTCAATGAAGCACAGTGGCCCGTGGGCAGAAATTGCATAAGTAGCTCAGTTGGCCGTGGGCGTGGGCGGGATTAGCGATGAGTAAGCCAAGTGGGTGTGAGCCATGTTTTTTGGGCTAGCAGCCTCTTTAGTGCATTGTCTTTTGGCCAAGCGGAATTCCACTGGGCGCCTGGCAAATGGCCAACAGCTGGAGGAGCCATCGGGTGCCGCTTCTTCTGGGAGGAGGTTAGACAACACCAAATGCACTTGGCCAACACCCACGTATTCGAGCAAACACATTGGCAACATGCTACACGCATAGTTGTACACTGGGAGGAATTGGGGAGAGGTTGTAGGATGCACTTCCTACTTATTATGTCGGTTACATGAAAGCCAAAATCACGGATTCGCCTAAGTTTTTCTAAATGATCCTTTTTCTGATTTATATAAAAGATATTTTATAAGCAGAAACGTTTAAGTACTAACATTTATTTATTTAACAATAATTAACCATCAAAAAATTACATTTCATATTTAAAGAAATCTTTAAAAGCTTAAATTTAAAGAATTTTGTATATAGTCTTTGGTTTTTGGAGTTAGATAAGTAGCTACTATTCAAGGATTTGTTAAAATGGTATATGCCATGTTTATAGTTAGATATTTTTACAACGGAATCTGAAACAACATAAAAACATCATTGAACTTAAAAGAAAACTTTAGTTCCAAAGGTCATATTTGGTATCGCTCTATTAAATACATTTAACATTCAAAGGAATATTTAAAAGCTTGAACCATAAGAGAATGTTCTTATATATTCCTGATATTTTCTAGAGAACTAAGCATCATTTCAAAACGGATTATCAGGATATTTTCTTTGAAGTCTAAGAATTTAATAAGACTGTAATTTAAAAGTCAGCACCAAGAACTTCTCTCAGTGCAGCATTGTAGACATTAAGCCTCCGGGGCTTAGACGGTAGGCTTTGGACGCTTTGGCTGCCAGCGAGCAGCGGAGCATGGCCAAAATGGGAAAGTGGAAGTGGAAGGGGGGGTAAGGGCTTGGGGATGCAGAGGATTCCCAGCCGAGGAGCATCCTATTTATTGCCACCGCTTGTAGCAGTCATTACTCACTCGGCACAAGGACCGGCTCTTTAAATTTCATTTGGTAAATGTAATTCGATTTAAGTTCCGCTCTCGATTTGCCATTTTTGCCGCTTGCCATTCTGATGGCAATGAATTTTTCATAGTTTCAGCTTGGCTTTTGTGCTCTTTGTTGGTCTGCATTTCAATTGAATGGGCTGGCAAACAAAAAATCCTGAAAAATAAAACGAGAGCAGCATGGAAAGTTTAATACAGGAAAAAAGGGAGGGGGAAAAACAAACGGAAGTGCATGTTTTGCATATTGCTTTGAGCCCTCAACAAATATGGAAAATTTCCTGCTGTCGGTGGGTGTGGCTGTGGGTATGTGCGAAAATCAAATTTGCTGGCCCTCAGCCTCTGAAGGACCCCCCCACTCCCAAGCCCCAGGATTTTCCAACACCCAACCTCCGAACACCGCATTTCATTTGTTGCCAGCAATAGTCCATGCAAACAGCGAAACTTGACTAAATGCAATAAACTGACCAAGTGCCAGGCCATTTTGCCACTGTTGCGGTCCAGAAAACCCAGAAACCCATCCATCCACCTACCCAATCCCACAGAATTTCGCTGGCCAAGCTTTGGGCTAAGCTTTGCCAACTCAGCGGCATTTTTGTACCCGGCACTCATTGAGTTCAAGGGTGTAACAGATACCAGTACGTGTACAGGTCCTTAAAAGTATTCATGATTTGTGAGTAGGGGTCTATAAACATTAAGGAGATAGGAAAAAACAATTATGAACTATTAAGAGGAAAATCAATACCCTTATAACATTTATAGCTTATAAAATTTATTTTAGATGGCTTATTCGATTTTAACAAAATGTATGATTTATAGATATAAACCAAAGGAATTCTGAACCTTTAGAGGTAAGGACAGCACAATTTGGGATACGGACTTCTTTGAATAGAAAGAAAGCCATAATTTATATTAGAAAGAGCGTAAAAATATAATATTAATAATAATAGATTTGAGATTGCTTATGTATGATGCCTGAAACCTGAGAAACTAGAAGAGGGTTCGGGGTTTAGGATATGGACTTCAATAAATAGAAGATTAAGAATGACCCATATTGAAATAACAAAGTAAGTGATCGGTTAATACATTTTAAATCATATATTCCTAGAGCTGGCAACTCTTGAGCCTTAACCTTTAGTTTGACCGTTGGAAGATAAAGTTTGTATTACAAACTGAAGCATTTGTTTTTACCACTTGCCAGAGAGTAAGAAGGCAAGATTTAAGCATTTACCAGAAGGCAAGTATAAATGAGAACATGGGAAAGTCAGGACTTATAAGGGGTATCTTTTAGTCGACTTTCGCCTATCCCCCTTTGTTCCGCTTTCCTTGAATAAAATGCAATTTGCTCATTTTTGCATAAACCCCAATTTCAGTTCTGCACTCGCTGCCAGGAAACGAATGAGAAATTGCTATTGCAATCTGCGAAAGCGAGTCCGCAGTGGATTTTGGCTCGGACTCATATCCAGGATACGGGGTCCATGGTTCCCGGCTAGAGAGGCGGCACAAAGCGTTGCTTTGACCGGCGACAGGTGAAATCAAATCCCCTTACCAGTGGACATTGGCCAGGGGATCTGGTTGTCATACAGGGCTCTGGAACTCACGGAATGCCCCACGAACAACACACGTAAGTCTCGCATGCCGGACACCTACCTGGATTTACGTGAATGGACGCTCCACTCCGGCATCTAGCAGACTCAAATCGTTGAATGTTTCACAATTTTCCAGCACTTGGCTGCAAGTGGCGTTAATTAAATCAAAATCGATGGCCAGCCGATGTCCCAGAGATTCCACATCCGGCAGCGCAGTGTGTGCGTCCGGGGAATCCCGTTTGTGCGGCAGGTGTGAGCTCGCCTCCAGTTGGCAGCAGGGGGGGATTGGGACTCCTCCTCCTCCTGCACCTCCACCTCCATGTCCTCCTCCCGTTAGCACCGCCTGCAGCTCCTCCGCACTGCAGTCAAACTCGTCCTCGTACTCATCGTCCATCAGCGATTGCTCCGAGTAGCTCTCGTCATCGTCGTCGCAGTCAAAGTAACCGCTCTGTGGATGAGGCAGTGGAATGATGGTTGGTTGGTGCTCAAGACTGAGCTCTTGATTGGCCGGGGCAAGGGGTTAAGGGATATGGGTGGTTGGGGCTATCATTCCAGGGATGCAGATCGAGCGAAACCGAATTTAAGAAAACCTCAAAGGAAAATGTTACGGTTTTCCCTTAAACGTTATTGTGCATATTTATCGCTCTTTACTTTTTACTTCCACAGAATTGATTTTGGGTGGTGAAAAGAAACAATTTATCTCTAAAATAAATAAAGCACAATTTAAACTGGGTAAATTAATTAGACTAAAGCATCCTTTTTCTTTAAATGTATTGAAAATATGTGATTTTACATCTTGATATCATAGTAGGACCAATTGAATTGTTCGGCCGTAGGTGTTAAAGGAAGAAGTTAAAATATGCCTTGAATATTTAGGTAACTATAATCTAAGAATAGGCTTAGAAGAAGAACTTATAAAATTGTATATACATTTCTCTTAAGAAATATATTGATTACTGTTTTTAATGGAAAAAAGATGAACATTATTAAAAAGTACTACTTTTTGGGTACTCAAACAAAACTTGTGTATTAAACATCCTTGGTATCCTTAAACCGAATAAATCAAAGTTCAGCTTCTACGTAGGTATGTAAGTTATGAGGGTCTTCATTTGTATGGAAATTTGTTAATTTCTACTGGGGTATTCGATGATCTTTAAAAAAATCTTTCTATGTGCCATCGCATTGGCTTCAAAGTTTATCACTGACAAGTAATACGTAAAATGTTGCCGTTGATAAAATTGGTATTTTAATATTTCTAGCAAAGTTTTAAGCCAAACAAACAAAGAAATTTAAAAATTATTCCAACAATATCAATAAGTAACAAGAAGTTGGAAATGGAGCCCTAGATCTCAAAAGAAAATATTTAGGTTTTTAATTTCCTTGTTGAATATTTATGTATACCATATTTAAGGGTGTATATACGATTATGTTTTTGACTTCCATCAGGACACTTATGACTGACAGCCAAATCTGGTTATCTAAAATTCGGAATCTATCCATTCTGCATCCCGGACCCTCCGATAGCCATATTCCCATTATCCCATTGTCACTCACCTGGCAGTCCAGGCATCGGCAATTATCACAGAGGCTGCAACTCAGGCCCAAAATGTCGGCCGCCTCCTGGTAGAGCTCGAAACTCGACTTCGGGCGCTGCTGTTGTAGATGTTGCTTCAATTGTTGGCCGGTCAGTGCCGCCGTGTTGTTGTCCTCATTATGCATGCTCCAGTTGGTCAATTTATTCAGCTGGCCTCCACTGCCGCCAGTTCCAGCATTACCAGCATTGGCAGCATTTGCAGCACTTCCAGCCTCCTGACTGTTGCTCTGATTTTTCAAGTTGCCACCATTGTTGTTGCCACTGGAGTGGGGCGCACTGCTGTCGAGCATGTTAAATGAAAGTTTATTTAGCTTTTGGTTGACTAAACTAAACGCGTATCAAATGGCTGCAAGTGGCGCGGAAGGACTCGCAGCGATTAGCAGGGACGAGGGGGTGGTACCGGTAGTGGGGCATGCTCCACATGCAAATTGATATAAAGTGGGAAAGGGATGTTAAGTGATGCGTATGGTACGGGGGCGTTATACCTCTAGCGCACTGGAAAGTACAACTAAAATTTAAAATTCAGCAGCACCTAAAGCTTGCAAAAAATTATTGACATCACACAAATCCTTTGTTTTTTCAATTTCTATCCACACACCAAGTTTTATATCGATCGGATAGGTTTAGCCTTTAATATTTAAGTGTTCCTATATACTATGTTTATGCTATGAATTCCATGCATTATACAACACAGACAAATTCATGAAATGATATTAGTAAAGCTTTCAAATTTTTTGAATTTGATATAGAGCTTTATATTTTATTAAAATGAATTTCAATATCTTAGTTATATGTATATTTTCTTTGAGTTAATTCCATTTTTGATTCCTTATTTCTCGGAGCATATTATATAATATGTGTTATTTAAGCAGTAAAGGAACTAAAGGCTTAAAAAATTTATATTATGTCAAATAAACAAAAGCATAAAAGCGCTAATTTGATTCACATATTTTAAACTATAATTTTAATTTGTCTATATATAAAAAATTTTTTTTTTTTAATTCGTGTGAATTTCCAATTTAAAAGGTTAAGTTTTAAAAGAATTAAATGTTGTAAAAAAGTTTCAGCATGTATAAAAATGAGTGAAGCAAAAAAGCCGTTTGATAACGAGCGATAGCAAAAGAAAATCGATCGATGAAAACGATAAATCATAGTGCAGCCTTGCAAATTTTCGCCTTGCACCAGTAAACAGGAAAAAAAGGTTAAATTAAAACAAAAGAGAGCAATTTAATTTGCGGCGACAATCAGACATTGTGCCAGCTCTTCCAGTATTTTCAGCCAGTGGCCACAATAAATTAAGCCACCTTTGGTGGGCTTTTTTGCATTAAAAGCAAGCTGGAAATGGAAATGGGGGGCATTTAAATCGCATCAGCGGAAAAGCAGGCTGCACAAGGCCATGAAAAGCGTCGGGAAAAATGCAAAAGTGAGTAACTTTGCACAACAAATTTCCGCAGTTATTTTGCGACACAAGTTGAGGGAGTCATTCATGTCAGTTTCGCTGGTGTCGCCATCCAGAAAGTTGATGAATGTGCGCCGGAGAATTTCCGCCGTGGAAATGCCTAAGAAAAGACGGGCGGCAACTCCCTCCTTTTGCATTTTCCCCCCCCAGGCTGACGTTTACTAATTAAATGCGCACAGGGCACTAATAAATCAAAGGGAAAACCCGCCCTTTTTTTTTCTGATGCAATTAATGAAATTTTCCCAGCCGCCTTTGCCAGCGAAAATTTTCAGTGAGCGAACTTTTGACATCATTATTGCAAAGAGGATATAAAAAAGGGTATTTGGATGGGTGTGGGGGTCTCGAAAACTTTGTGTATGTAACTTGTAAGTGCAACTTGGGCATTAAGTTCCCCAGAATATGATTATTGCACTTCAATATGTACATTTATGGCCTGGGCTTTAATCAACTTTTTAAGCCCTCTTTAAGCCCCAATGCTTTCGCCTCACTTTATGTTTATGCCGAGCTGAGCGCGTTAATTTTTCAATTTCGCAAATGACTGCTGGGCGGAAAAGCGGGCGGAAAATGGGGTGAACAACTTTGCTAAGCGATGATGATCAAAACTTATGACTTCATGAACAACGCGGCAAAGTTTCGCCGTTGCAACAAAGTGTCCGCTGACAGATAATTGAAAGCGCTTAAAAGCCGCAGCAAAAACAGGATAAGCGCATTTGGCCATAAAGAAAATGCTACTGGCGTTGGCGATGGGAAATGAACTGACCAATCGATTTAAGGAAAACAAAGAAGAACGCTATAGTCGAGTACCTCGACTATCAGATACCCGTTACTCAGCTAAATGGAGATATGCAAGCAGCAAAGCGAGATTAAAATGCGCCACCTACCGGCGGTAGACAGATTTAAGCGTTATGGGCGTTAGAGTGGGCGTGGCAAATTTATTTTTGGATAAATCGATAGGTATTGACGATACCAATACATTTCAGTTAAAATTTTTTATGTAGCATGCAAATTGTGGGCGTCACAGGTTTTCGCGGTTTGTGGGCGTTTAAGTGGGCGTGGCAAACTTTTTTTTAGGTCAATCGATAGGTATTGATGAGAACAATACATTTCAGTTAAAATTTTTTATCTAGCATCAAAACTGTTGGAGTTACAGTTTTGGGCGGTTTGTGGGCGTTAGAGTGGGCGTGGCAGTCTACTGAAACAAACTTGCGCTGCGTAAGAAGCTCAGGAATCTGAACGCCAAATCTCAATAGCCTAGCTCTCATAGTTTCCGAGATCTCAGCGTTCATCCGGACAGACAGACGGACAGACGGACAGACGGACATGGCTAGATCGACTCGGCTAGTGATCCTGATCAAGAATATATATACTTTATGGGGTCGGAAACGCTTCCTTCTGCCTGTTACATACTTTCCGACGAATCTAGTATACCCTTTTACTCTACGAGTAACGGGTATAAATACCCACGATGATTTAGTCGAATGATTTAATAAATGGTCAGCTAGTGCCAATTGCTGCACTTCAATAATTAATTAAGAAATAATCGAATGCCGGTGCCCATTGGAATTCGCCCGGTTCTCTCAGTCAACTTAATGAGAAACCACTTTGGCATGGCAACTAGGACCACGGCACCACTCTACGGAACCAACGAACCACCGAACCACCACTTGTCCCCTCAGATTGCCATCATAAAAACTTGCCACAGTTTGCGGAGCGTTGCAAGATGCCTTATAACATTTATGGGAATTTATAAGTTTTTGCGGCGGCGAGAAGATTGCTGCGCTGACACAAACCCACATACTAAAGAAAGTGCACTCGAAAAGTAATATAAGAATAATATTGGCAAATGAATATAACAGTGTCACTGGATTTTACTAATGGCGATAAAGTTTAAAAAATATATGACTTTTTTATTTGATCTTTCAAATTCTTCTAACAAATGTGTTACTTTTCCATACTGACCCGTGTAGCTCTATAACTCTGTACATCTATATTAAAATTTTTAGTATTTTGTGCACTTCAGTATTTTTATAAATCACATGAATATATTTTAACTTTATTTTATTGTTTCATTCTTAAGATAAAATAAGATAAATAAGATATAAAACAATATAATAAGTGTAATTCCTGACATGTCAGGAAAAAAATTTGGTTAAAATAGATAAGTAAAAATAAAAAAAAATTGAATACGAAGAACAAGTTTCTAAAAGAAATAAATGAAAAATCTTTAAAATTCCAGGAAGTTAGATTATATTTTGCCCTAAAATGGATAAGAATGTTTATAGCGCTGGTTTAGAATACTGTTTTACATTTTGCTTTGGACCTACTCCTAATTTATTGAGCTCAGGTGTATATCAGATTTTTTTTCGAGTGTTTTCTGGGTGTTACATACCTGATGGCGCCAGCAGAATCTTCCGATGCTGCTGCGTTGCTGCGCCATTTTTCTTCTTCGAGATATTTGAGAAACTTTGTCTTCTTGGCAATAAGCGCTGATTTGACATTGGTGCATTTCTTCTTTGGCAGCAGGGGTAGGTGGCCCCCAGTGGCTGCTCCTCCGGCTCCTGCTCCTGCTCCTCCGCCTGTCGGGGTAACCACTCCCGCTGTGCCATCCAAGGATTCGCCACTCCGGCTCCGATTCCGGCCGTTTTGGGTTACTCCGCCTGCCGCTGACAGGCACCTATTGTTATGGTTGCTCGCGGCGGCATTGTTGTTGCTGCCGTTGATGTTGCTGCCGTGGATGTTGCTGCTGCTGTTGTGGTTGCTGTGGGCGTGGGTGACATTTTGGCAGGCGACGCCGACGCTGCAATTGAACAATTTTTGCAGGGCCGCCGTTGCCGGTGAACACATTGCGGTTGACATTGATGTAGCGACAGGATTTACGTAGTTTGATGCCGCATCCATGGGCATTGTTGTGGCTGTTGTTGCTGTTGCTGTTGCTGCCGCTGCTGCTGCTGCTGCTGCAGCACTGCCAAAAGTTTTGAATTTATGCTGCAGGACGCCACTCGAGCAAGTTGCCTCAATTGGATTTGCCGCTCTGCTCCGGCTGCCATTTATTTCACGCTTTGTTGCCGCATATGTGCCATAGTCCTGCCAAGATGGTAGATAAATTTGGGAGCAGGGTGCCGAGGGAACCAAAAAATAGGAAGGATATAAAGATAGCTGCACTTCTAGTGGACTCTCCAAGGACTCACCCCATATGCACCGTAGCTGGCATTAAGCACATAAATCGAATTTTGATTGCTGCACTGGAAGACCATGTCGTCCATGGTTTGGGCTGCCCGGAAACGAGAAGAGCATTTTGATTTTGCTTCAATTGTACGGCCAATCAATTCAATTTAAACTATTTCATTTCAGGCACAATCATTTGTTGCCTTAAAAATCATATCAAACAGTTTACTAGCAGCTCTAGGATACTCAGAATTCAAAAGAGTTAAAGAAACAATAATTATAATTATGAAGTATTAAAATAAAGTATTCCTAGATTTATACATACATAGTTATAAATACCTTTGAAGATTATTTTTAGGAGAGTAATAGATGGATTAACCTTTTTTTTAAAGGGGTGTCGCCAATTAAGTTTCTTTTTTATCCATAAGCTCCCAATTAAATATTTATGTACTATTTAGACATTACCAAAAAGAAGAATGAAATTTATAAAAGCAATTTGTTTCCATTGTTTGACATTTAAAAAAGAATCTTATTTTTAAGCCCACAATAAAAAGACTCCTAGAAATTTGTTCAACATAATAGAATTTCATTTCACTTCATTTTCATTGTAATATATAAAAAGCTTTTTACAACAACACAAAACAAAACAAAATAATTCTTTTAATAAAAGTTTTTCCGGATTGTCAAGTTAATGGAAAATATTTTTTTAAGAATGACTGTCATTTTAAAAGTTTTGTTCTATTAAAACTGTCAAGTCTTACAGTTTTTCTGCTTAAATAATTTAAAAACCTTTTAGCATTTGAAAAAGAGAATTATTTAGTAAGATTCGTAACCCAAATGTCTGACCCAATGAAATCCTTCCCCCAGTGTACGAATATTGGGTTACTGACTTTTTGGGACCGATTCGGAAAATGTTGCTTAACCAAATTATGCAAATTTAACATTGAAATCAAACAGCAGACGGCGTCTCTGTTTCAACTTTTCGCATTTGGAAGGGGGAAATCCCTGGGAAAAGCACACGGAGGGCGGAAAAAAGGCGAAAATTTAATTTAAATTCTTATTGCTGCCTGCTGATTGTGATTGTTTTTTGGGAAGGGGAGTCCCCCTAGCATCATGCTTACCCATTGAGCTTTCAATAAATTTGGTTTCGTAGATTTCCCCGGCCGCTGCCGAGGAAGGTGTTGATTTCTGCCTGCTTTTGACTGGGGTGCTGGGATGACGATGACGAATCCTGTCCAGCTCCTGGTGGCAATCAAGGCTGCAATTACCAGCGTCCAATTGAAGCGGAAACTTGTGCGCCTGCTGGAGCGTGTAAACGTTGACTGAACGCTTCTCGTGGCCACCGGTTCCTCCGATTCCACCGATTCCACCGATTCCCAATCCGATTCCGATTCCACCGCCGGTGCTCCGGTTGGTCCTCCCGCTGAGCCAGCTCGTTAGCCACAGGGATTGGATATCTGTGGGGAAAACAGATGAAGGCATAAACAAATTTCCATTCAGATTTTCTCAGTTCACGCACACGGTTTGTTGTTGTGTTACTTTCTTTATTTTTTATTGTGGAGGGAAATGCGAAATGGTTAACTCGGCCTGGCCAAGCATGATAAAATTTCGTTTGAAAAGCAAGTTCATTGAAATAAACAGGCCTTCCAGCCCACTCACTTTCTCCCCATCCCTCCCAAGCAAATAATCCTTTTTTTGTTGGCCTGCCTTCGGGCTTAGTTACGCCGCATTATCAAAGAGCCTTCTATTGTTGGCTTAGATGGACTGTTCGACTGGGTCCGGCTGAAATTCCGACAATTACGCATGGCATACGCAATATAATCGCCGTTGCCAGGACAATTGGTTGGAGCACAAGTGGAAGCCGGATCCTCAAATCCCTCGAAATGGGTGCGAACAATAACTTGAATGAAAATATGATTTCTCTGCGACTTAAACTCCAATAATCCACTGCATCTGTCCGCAGAAATAACCACCTTATTCTTCTCAAATTAATGATATGATAGTATTCTTCTGCCCACATTTGCCAATAGTGATTTAATTGCCATTCAAGTACTATAGGAATGAATACCTAATGAATAATTCATTTGAGATTATTATACGTTTAATTGTATTAAATTAACAAAGAAATACTATCTTCAAGAAATAAAACTAGGCTTTGTTTTAAAGTTAATTGGATTTCTTGATACCGCAATAGCGATATGTTTCTCATATTTAGTTGAAGGCTAACCTAGCAGTAATTTACCTAAACTGTGGAGTCATCACTCAAGATTTAATCGTTATTAATGCAACATCTATAGAGCTGCATACACTGGGGGAAACAAGGCATGCCAAGTCGAAAGATAAACTGAAAGAATAATTGTGGGATATTTTACATTATTTTAAATGTTTTTGGTGTTAGTATTTATAAAACATAGATTTTATTAGACTCTTCTTGAAGGCTACATTCAAAAGAATTGTGCAATTTATTGGAAAACGTTTATGTAGTATTAATATGTCACTGAAACAAACAGCCCCCATTCGATGGACAATTTTGCTGACATTCTTTGCCTGTGCGGATGTGTGCAGATGAACTTGGATCGGTGGGGCGTTTAACATTTGTATCCCTATGTGGCAGAGCCGTAAATCCCGGAGCCGCAACTTGGTGACCCCATTCATCAAAGTGTCGTAGTCGTAGCAGCTGGCGAGCAAAAATCTTTTGTCATTTGCTGTCAAATCGCTGGGATTTGATGGGGATGGTGGAGAAAAACTAATACGTGCTGGAAGTCAACAGGGCAACATGTAAAACATCGGGGGGAGTGATACAAGTTGAAAGGGTGGCATCGGGCTCACCTGCTGCTCGTCGAGCATCTCTAATGAGCGGCAATAAAGCAAATGTGGCAGGTGACACACTGCCACGCACACACACACACATATCAACCAATTTGCACATTATAATTGTTGACACACCCCTATAAAGAATATATATATGTGGGTATACCTATGCGTGTCATTAGTGGGCATCTGAATGGGACTAGAAATCCCGCCCTGATTCCATTTTATTCTGTGCCATTTAGCTGGGGGTCCCCCGCCTTTTACTTCCGACGCTCCATCAAGCTAATAATAAAACTTTTATTTATTTTGGGATTTTCGTCAACTGACCGAAGGCAAACAAAGAGCTACAAACAAACAGGCCTACAGAAATAATAAGCCTGTATAGAAACAAGGGGGCGGTGGGTGGTATTAGGGGGTGTGGGTGGTGGTGGGCAAGTGGGTGGCCTGTCCAGTGGAGCGTGGCATATTTGTCATAATCAGCGTTTAGGCATAAGCATAAATTTGAATGAGTGCGCACAGGGGCGGCGAAGGAAAGGGGGTCAGGGTCCATATTGTATGGACATCCTTATCATATATTAGGCAGCGTTACTCTCCCCCAATTTCTTTTTTTTAGCCAGAGATGAGCAGCAATTTTTTGCGACAGGCTATAGGTTTTTATAAAATCATATATCATAATATTTAATAGCTGTATGAAACTGATGGTATGATATATACATTGCATTTTCTTGATAACTGTTAATTTTTGGTATTTTTTCGTTATTTTTCATATATAGAATGAAGTTCACTTAAAAAAAATATTAAGCTTTTAAGAAGATTCACATCCGTAAACATTTATGATCAAGAACAAAGTCTTTAGTAGCGTCAATATTGGTAATAATAATAATGAATTGCTAGTTTCTCTTCTTTGCAATACTAATGATACTGTGATATTACCTTTCGTTAGGAGACATCACTTGAAGGTTAAAAAAAAAGTGAAAGTGTTACTGCTTTGAAGTTGTGGAATGTGGTTTCCATCGACGAGCGGAAAGTTCCGAATACCCCAATGCAAGGGTATGCGGACAAAGCAGGACCTATCTATGCAGGGACATGACCGACCCGCTCCCTGGGATCAGATGAGGAATTTGCGATTGACAGGAGTCGCGCTGCCGGCGGAGGACTCTGTGCTCTGTGAGCAAATATTTGACTGAGAAATTCCGGGGACTGCAGGAGGTCGCGAAACTCAAAAGGGGAGCTGGAATGGGCGAGGGCTATCTATATAGGGCCAAGTCCATTTTCAGGGGGAGATCCATCCCTCTTTGGTCATAAATTTGATGTGTGCATAAAAAATGTTTTTCGATTTCCTTCGACACACACACACACACATACCCACATAAATTCTTGGCAAGGGTCACGTGCGAGCAGGTGTTGGCCGCCTGGATAATGGGCATTGTCTTTGGGCCAGTTTCCCCGAGATCCTGAACCGTATCCAATGGAATCAATAAGTGGGCCACAAGGCCGGAACATTGTTTTCGCGCTCCCCATTCCCGGCCCTCTGTATTTTGTTGTCAAAATATTTATTGCATTTTGTTGATTTTCGGCCGAAAAATCTAACCAAAACGTTTTCCGTTTGTCATAAATTGTTGGGAAACACATTTAAACTGAAATTTAGCCGATTTGCCATGTATGTATGCTCTGGCATTTTTCCGGGCTTGTTTTGCCAGCGATTGCATAATAACATCGTTTGTGGAATGGCCCACAATGGCAATAAATTAACATTTTATATGGAATGTGTATGTGTTCTTTTCCACTACGCAGTTGGCTAAGCCTTTTATGGCGCGATTATCGGACGGCAACATTTTTGGCATTCCAATAAGCAGTTATTCAAAGTGGATTTGACCGGGCCCGAAGGATGAGTTCTGAGGATTGTGTCTTACGACCGTCTTTCGTCTCTCGAAGGACTCCTTGAAGACACCTCAATCCAAGTTACATACTTTCCAGAGCCTCTCAATCCCTCAGCAAATACTTATGAGCTTCTGCATTCAATGCTCTTGTTTATTTATTTTAATTTTAAACTCATACAGCAGAGAGAAAGAGCCAAATTGAAATTCTGGATATTGGGATATGTGTATAAGAAAGAAAACTGAAAAGTAAACACTGACCAAGCAAAAAGCATCTCATTCGTATTTGTATACTCTAGCTGAGGTTATAAGCAGTGTTATAAATTTAATATAACTTATTTTGTAAAAGCACAATCTAGAACCAACATCAATATTATTATTGAACTCCATTATTTTATACCCTTGCAGAGGGTATTATGATTTCAGTCAGAAGTTTGCAACGCAGTGAAGGAGACGTTTCCGACCCCATAAAGTATATATATTCTTGGTCAGTATCACTAGACGAGTCGATCTATCAATGTCCGTCTGGCCGTCTGTCTCAGTTTTAAAGCTATCGGGCTGAAACTTTCCGAAAAGTCTTCTTTCTTTTGCAGGTAGTATATAAGTCGAAACCAGCCGGATCGGACAACTATATCTTATAGCTCCCATATGAAGAATCAGAAGAATAACCTCTTACGCTTGGAAATAACATTTTTAATTAGTTCTGAATTTCGGATTTAATTTTATCAAAATCGGATGACTATATCATAGAGCTGCCATAGGAACGATCGGAAAATTGGTGGGAAAATAATATGAAAAAAATTATAGCTTCGGTGTATTTTGACTATTATCTTATACTATTGGGAATATCATTTTTTGTATTTTTAAGAATTTCGAATTCAATTTTATAAAAATCGGACGACTCTAACATATAGCTGTCAAAGAAACGGTCAGAGAAATAATGCAATAATTTGTATACCCTTGCACAGCGAAATCAAAAATTATAGCTTCGGTGTATTTTGACTATTATTTTATACTATTGGGAATATGATTTTTTGTATTCTTATGAATTTCGAATTAAATTTAATAATTATAACTGCAAGGGTATACAAACTTCGGCTTGCCGAAGTAAACTTCCTTTCTTGTTTTATTAGTGATCCTGGTTAAGACTACATATTCTTTATAAGGTAGGAAACGCTCTCCCTGTTACATACTTTCCAACAAAAACAACATACCCATTTTTCTTACGAGTATGTGTATAATTAGGCTAAAATATATTTTGGCAATCAAAATTGCTGCTTTTCAAGAACAATAAATTTCAGTGCCTGTTTACCTATTTTTCATAAAAAAATTCGGCGATACCTCAGAGTATAAAAACCGTGGATCAACCGAGTGCGTGTTCAGTGGTCGTGGACTCTCAGTATGGTCAAGATGTCAGTATCTTTTTTGTTTGGTGCTATAGCTCTCTTCGGATTTCTGGATAGTACGCAATCAGTGTGTGTGCTAGAAGATGCCCCAAATCAGTGCGGGTCTTTCTGCCTTGCAGCATTAAGACCGATTATGGATCACAATGTCAAGACTCGCAACCAATGGAACTCTCAGGGTGTTGCACTTAACGAAACACTGGAACGACTGAACAAATTCCATGGCTCTCTAAGCGAAAAACTGGATAAATTGGAAAGCAAATTGCAAGCGGCACAGACAAATATGGAAAGCAAAATGAGCACAGTTTTGTTAAATATGGAAAAAAAATTGCAGACGGTACAAGACAACGCCGAAAGCCAACGCGT